CCAGACAATAAGGAACCGAAGTTTGGTGAAAAATGCCGAGTTTCTTTAAATAATTTTCAGTACTTTCGTTACAGTATTCTGTACCGTTATCGGATATGAGAACCTCTATTTTCTTTCTAAATTTATTTGTTGTCGATGCAACATACTGTTTAAGTTTGTCGAATACTTCATCTTTTGAAGTAATAAAATAAATTTGAGTATAATGCGAACAGTCATCAATGAAAGTTACGAAATATTTTTTCCCTCCTAAGCTGTTGACTTCAGTTGGCCCACACACATCTGTGTGCACTAAATCCAGTGAATTTTTAGATTTAAAACTAGTTTTGGGATAAGGTGTTTCAGTTAGTTTCGCTTTTACACAAGTAGAACATTCCACACTATGAGTGCATTTGCCAAGTTTAATGCCGTCTGCCAAATCATTTTTCTCAAGTGTTTTTATGGCATCTATATTTCTGTGGCCTAATCTTTGATGCCATTTTAGTATACAGTTCGTATTTGAACATAAAACATTATTAGCTAAGTATGCTTTCTCATCAATTGGGTTTACGATCAATTTATATAAACCTTGCTGAGCGTTGCCATCGGCTATGAGTATATTGTTACGCTTTATGTAACACTTATTACTATCAAATGTAACAATGCAACCTTTATTGGTAACAGATTGAACAGAAAGTAAATTACTATCTAAACCTGGTACATACAATACATTTTCCAATTTTATTTGTGTAACCTGACCCTTTAAGTTTTGAACTTTAAAATAACCTTCACCAATACCATAAGAATTTAATTTAGCACCATTGGCTACAGTTACTATTTGTTTATTAGAGTCATTTAACTGAGAGAAAAATTTTTTATCACTCGTCATATGAGTTGAGGCTCCTGAGTCGATAACCCATTCTTGCGTTTGAGTGTTTTCATGTTTATTTTCTACTTTTAGAACTTGATTAAACTGAATCTGTATATTTTCAGTTTCAATACTTTTAAGATACTTATTTTCTTTAAGTTTTGTTATGTTTTCTACACTTTGCGTATTTGCTATTTGGCATGCATTACTTTTATAATTTCTTACTTTACTATTATGTACATTTGTTTTCGGGGAAGTTCTAGCATTGCGTTTTAAATGAAAACAGTCATTTATCGTATGGTTATTTCTCTTACAATAAGTACAAAATTGTGTAACATACTTTGGTTTATTTTCGCTTTTACTTTTTAAAGCAACTGAATCGTACTTTTTGAACTTTCTTAGTTTCCACACATCTACAATACTCATCTATTAGTTTGTTTTTAACATATTCTAGCGACAATTCAGCTTCCGATTTACTTTCTATTGCAGTTATTAAGGAGTTGTATGAATTTTGGTAAAGAACATAGTAGTATTGCTATTAAGCTATTTTCGTTAATTTCTTCACCTATACTACGCAACTTTTCAGCCAACTCTAGTACTCCTTTGATATGTTCCTGCATTTTAGAACTTTCATTATATCTAATGGAATATAGTTTTCTAAGAAGAAATAACTTATTTGTTAAATTTACACGTTCATGGACACATTTTAACTAATGCCAAACTTCTTTTGCAGATTTACTATGTAAAACATGGATAATTTGCGAATCCGAAATGTTTAGACATATTAAAGCTTTAGCTTTACGATCATTCTTTAACCAAATATCAGTATCAGTTTCTGGTTTTTCTTCGAATACAACATCATCTAAACCTTCTTTTATTAGAAGTTGTTTTATTTTAAATTTCCACACTGAATAATTTTCATCTGTTAATTTTTCTATACAAATTGATTTTTTTAGAATAGACATCATTATTTGTTACAATTATTCTTATAAACTTTGTAACTAGTTTTTTTTTTTTTTTTTTCAACAAAGAGTTTTAACACTTTATGCCCCTGGAATCTTACAACATTACAAAATTTCAATTTCTCAGTCTCATAATCTTTTGTTGGTTGTGCATTAGCGCTGAAGGCATAATGAGTACGTTTCCTCAAGCACAGAATTAAAGAATCATAAGTCAAAAGATTAACTACGAAATCTTTATTTAATAGGATAATTTTGCTTAACTTAAGCATAACAAAAAGTAATAATGTTCAAGGACATTAAAATTGAAGTATTCAAAAGAATAACTTACATAGAATCCTCATCAGTACTAAATATCATCAGGCTTACCTATATTAGGCAATAAGAAAAATAAACAGGAACATACTTTGCCATCGTACCTGAAAGAGAAGAAAGTACTACTGGATTAGACCTTTGGCCAGGTACAAGTAGCTAGGGTGAAAATCAAATATACTGCATTGGACACGAGCTTTACTTTCTCTCGCCAATATATGCCTTGGCGCGCGTTCGTTTCGTATGCCTTTCGAGTTTCATTATGCAAAATAACTAAATTTATGCTAACACTCTTAGCTGCTTGCTGACAGCTGTTAAAAGCTTGCAAAAGGACTGTAAGGTACTACTAGTGAAAGAGTTTTTGGACATGTGCAAGGCTGCTTTAAGGCATCTAGAAAGTCTTCAAGGTACTGGGCAGCAATCTCCTAGGAATGTTTATGTTACTTGTGATGGAGATTCTTCTTACTGTCTGGAAGTGTCCCGTGACACTTACGACAAAGATCATATTGACTGCGAGATCATGAGAATATTTTTTTAAAGATTCACAAGTGACAGAAATTTATATCAATGAGCAGCATTTTTTCAGTTCCAGAGTTAAAGCAGTCTGTAAAGAGCAATTATTAAGGTATCTGTATATTTTTAAAAATATGAGTTTCAATCAAAATGCCAGTTTAATGTTTTTTCATATAATGTTAAAACTATATTTTTTTCCAGTACTTCCTTATTATAGCGACCTCAGAGATTGAGTCACTAATCAACTGAGATATCTTGCCACATGTTCTTATATTCGTATCATATTACATTTTTGCTCTTCCCATGTTTTTTTACATTAGCATTGTGTTTCATTTTTGTTAAGGTTGATGAATTTGATGATTTTTTTAAAAATATTCCTTGGTCATTTTTTTTGCGAGGGGGGGGATATATTGTTAACAATCATTAATTTACCAAATAAAGAGGGGGGTGCCATATACATTTTTCAAGAAAGTCATTGTGTACCGTGGCATGTGAGTATGTGAAAATGGCCATAACATGAAACTGCCTGTTAATAATGAAACCATTAAAGGTACAGTGTTAAAAATTGTAAAAAAAAAAAAAAAAAAAAAGTTTCCATGTTAACTGTTTTAATGGTTCCAGAATATCGTTCATCATTACTATTAGATTTATGTATTCATGGACAGAGGAGCTGACATCCAACAAATGGTGTGACAAAGAGCTTATGTGTGTAAAAATGTTGTAATTAATTGGAATAATTATATGCCAAAAGTGTGTTCCCTACACTTGATGCAGAGAATTAGTTGGTCCCACTAAAGTAGTTGAAATTGATAAAAGTTTGTTCGTTTGATGTATGAACAACAGTAGCAGAGTACTCCACAATAGTGGATTTTTGAAGGAAGATGGTGAGTGTTTTATTTTTCAGATTTCCAATAGAGATCCTGGTACACTTACAGAGACAATTATTCACATGTGCGAGATGGATCAACAATCTATTCAGACTGCTGGAAAGGAAAGGAAATGGAGCAACTTGAAAAAGCTGTATACAGTCACCTTATTGTGTGAGTAATTGCATAGACCTGACAACAAGTAAAAAAATATTGATAAATATGTTCGCACAAATAAGCAAAATAAGGAAAAGTTCGTATCATACGAAAATAAAAATAAAAATCCAAGAAAACAGTCAACAGCTGTGGCTTTAAACACATATGTTGATAATTTATGTGTTTTTGTGATAAAGTAACAGATCATTTATCAGACGATTGTAATAAATATAACATAGCACAAAAGAAGGATATTCTGAAAAGAAATGCTAGATGTTTCTTGTGTTATAAAAGGTTCCATACTAAAAAATTATGCAGAATTAAGGTTGAATGTAATGTATGCCATAAAAGGCAACAACACAGAAAGGGGTTATGTGAAAAAGGCCTATCCAGTTGTAAATGATTCTTTATGTGAACAGGTTAATTCTGTTAATAACTCTGAAACAGTATTGATGTCAGTAATGCCAGGAAAGAAAGAAATTACAAATGGTAAACAAATTGTTTTTCTACAGACATTTTTAGCCATTGTTTGTGGCACAGTAATGAAAACAAAAGTTTGTTATTTATTTGATTCAGGAAGTCAACAAACATTTATTCATGAAAATTTATCAAAGAAATTAAATTTTACACACTTTTGGTAATAATGCTGTAGTGAACACTACAAGATGTAGGGTTAAATTTCAGTTATGTAATATCAAAAATGAAAATAAACATTTGACAATTCAAGCATTAAAATCCTGGGTTTCGACGCCAATAATATGTAGTAACTAATTTCAGTTACTATCAGAGAGCATTAGTTCCAGAGCTAAGTGATCATTCTGTTTTGTTATTAATACACACACGTTTTATTTACAATATAATACAATAGTTACAAGCATCATTATTAGGCACACGCCTTCATCGTTATTAGGCTTAACACCTTCGTTCTTCCATCAAACTAAAGTTACAGAATATCAACAGAGATAAGATGATCGGAGCGCCACCTAACGGTGCAAAGACCTGACAACAAGTGTCGATACCCAAATGTGTAAAGAATTTGGGGTTTAACTAATTTCAGTAATAAACAACAATGTTTCGTCATCAGCTCAAATTATATCTTTCTGAATTTATGTAGAGAAAGTATATTGGAAAATTGATGTTTTTGATGAATTGTTGAAAGGAATTTTGGAAATGTGATCATGTTTTAATGATTATTAAAAATATCCTTAGTTAGAAGTTAATTTTGTAATAATTTTGTTATGCAGTACTTTCATAAAGGTAAAATTTTCGTTAACACTTATAATATGTTGCTTGTGTGCATGGGTATATATAAAGGAAAATCTTTCATTTCTAAAATTGTATTCTTAATGCTGATTTTAATTCTCTGCTTTAGGATTTTACTGATGTTGAGGTGAATGAATTTCTTAGCATTTATGAAGAGATACAGAAAGAAATAATAGAAGGTAGTATGACATGCATTTTCATGGTTTATAATTTTATTTTGCTTTCAAAGTTAATATTCTGTATTATTTTCAAAATGTTGTAACTACATAGGATAATTAAATAGCATTATTAAAAAGTTGTTTCTTTTGTGTTTATAACACAATGTCGATGTTATTTATCAGTACTCTAACAGCACGGCATATCACTGCAACATTGCAAGCGTGCCGCATTGTGACTACCTCAATGTCGCAGTAACGTTGTAGGAATGGCTTAATTTCCGCTTTTTGCAACGATGTGAAGTCAGATTGGGACTTGTCACATTGTGACATTGCTGTGAAGTCATGCTGCAACTTTGTTGTGAAGTTACACTGTAATATTCTTGTGAAGTCACACTGCGACATTCATGTAACAACTCATTTCGACTTAATATAAAGCCATAGAGTGACATGAATGCAACATAATAAAATGCCATGAATATAATGTCACTAAAGTTGTAAATGGATGTCACGCAACACTGGATTACTTTCTAAAATGATTAGAGTGATGAACTCTTATTTTGGAAACAGTTAACTACAGCAATGTTTTAATGATCCAGTAAGGTATTGTACTTTTCAAGGTATTAAAATACTTCCATAATATTCAAAATTTTTAAATAATTGAAAATATCCAATATAATCATTTGAAAATTTCCTCATTTCACTGATGTTGTATCTCACCTTATTAAGGTTATATAACTGTAATCCATTTATGTTTATTGCATATCTGTATAAACATTTTTTTTTAACAACTTGGCTTTTTAATACTGTTTTCTGTTCTCCATTTCTTTTTTCCTTAATTGCTTTCCTTCCAGAAAGAGCTAAATTTTTTTGATAACTGGATGAAAGAAAAACCGTTTTAGTACTATATTTTATAGGACATTTAGCTATTTTATTATCTTGTTATATAACAAAACGTTTCGTTTTGAATTAAAAGCTTTTATAAATCAAAACAATCATAGACTCCAAAGTAGTTAACTACAATCTTTGTTTCCAAATTAGCCATTTGTTGCTTAATCTGTAATACTGAACAAATAGTTATAGATACAAAAGTCAGTAGCTGGGAAACATTATAGAAACTAAATTACTGAAAATAAATATTTATACTTAAGTTATAAAAAATGGGCATTCTTTTTCACCATTATTACTCCATTAACAAATTACAATTTTATGAGATTTTTAAGCTATAAATTTAAAATAACTGTCTTACACTGCACAGCTTCAATATATTTAAATAATTGTATTACGGTAAAAATATCATGTAATTTGTTTCATTTAATGATTAATGTGACTCATTTATTTTAAACAATTCAGCATTTTTCTGTTCTCTTAACAAATAGAGTATTATGCAAAAGCATAACAAATTTGCATGAATTAATTATTCCAGTTCATAAAACAATTATTGTTGCCAAAGCTGACTTACAGAAAATCTATATTACTTACTTCTGAGAATATGCACTATACTATGACCTTCACAGCAATGCTTAAATACTATTCATAGCTCATACGGTAAACTGAATAAAACTCGGCTGGTTATGCATTAAAATATACAAGCTCCTTTATTTAATCAACCCATATGGGGAGTAAACACTTATTGTATACTGACATGAATGATACAACATGAATCACTTATTGTATACTGACTTATTGATACTGACATGACATGACATGAATGATGATACTGACATGAGTGACATGAAACACTTATTGATACTGACATGAATGATATAATGGAAGTAAACACTTATTGTATACTGACATGACAGTGATAATTAATATATAATAATTGAAAATAAATTTTTAAATTATTATTAAGAATGAAATGATTACGACGAGAAAAATACCAGAGATGCATGGACTTTATAGAAGTGCGTGTGAAAAATCAGTGAAGATTTTTTGCTATCCACAAATTTCTACAAACAGACAATGAAATCGGGGCATTTGGAATTATTTTAATACTATTTTTCAGAGCAAAGATGAGGATTTGGAAAATGTGTTTTTATGTAAATATGAAGTAACATCAGATATAGGCATTCTTGCTATCCTTCTCCTTTAATATAAACACGCTTCAGTTTTTTATTTAATTTTAATAATATGAAGATATGTTTTACAATGCATACTTTAAAAAAGTTATTAATTTAATCTAAATGAATCTGTACAGCACAGAGCCGTTACCGTTTTTGGGTGAATCAGGCATTTGAAAATGATGGGGCACATATACTGTATGTATAAGAATTTGGAACGTAATAAAAATGTTTAGGAGAAGCAGTTGTGAGATTAGTTTCAGATATTAAAATCTGATGATAAGGCCCTGATGCTTTACTTTCTTTAAAGTACTTCATTTTTCTAAAGTTTTCATTTGATTTCTTTATTGAAATCAGAAATGATTTCAAACCGTTAAAATTTCAAAAAGGTATCAATACATGTTTTAGCAATGATGTTATAGTTTTTTCACTAGATGGGAATTAAAGAAACAGTTTCCTTAGTATACTTTTAACTGAAGAGAAATAGATTATTTGATTTCTTTAATATAACAAAACTAAAACACAATGGGAAATGAAATATAAAAACACGTTCATGCCTTTCATTTTAGAAACTATGCAATTAAAACTGAATTTCACTTATGTACTTAAGTTCAAATTGAAATTGGCTGTATTTATGAAAATAAAAGTAATTCCACTACTTAATTTTGTAGGAAAAACTTTACAACTTTTGTTAAAATTAAAAAACAATGAAAATATAAAACTCCTCCTTTTACATTAAAAGAAATATTCTTTTAATGTAAGATATATATATATATATGTAAAATATAAAATAAATACGATGGCTTTGCTCTTTGCGAACCAGCAACCTTTAATTAATTATCTGCAATTCAGGATCGTCCCCTAACCCAGTACCTTCTAGAACATTCGCACCTATTACATAACCTCCTCATATAAATGCTGCGTAATAAGTTTTTCTACATTTTTCTGGAAGCTACTCTGTTACATAACCTTTCATATAAATGCTGCGTCATAAGTTCTCCTACACAGATGCCTTCTCGCCTTCTTCCTGCTAACACTTCCGCTATGCTCCTCTTTCTTTGTTAGAACGTTATGACGTATTAAAGTTTAAAGTCAGTCGTATCTAATAGTTCAATTACTGAATAAGTTATTTGATTAACTCCATCTGGAAAAAGTCATCTGCTGTAAATTAAAATAAAGATATGCTTGCTGTTAAAAGTGAAAAGTCCTGAGTTGTCATTTTTCTCCGTGATTCATTCATCCCAGATTCGTCAACCATCTGCAGAACGTGTAATGGAATAGCCTCACCATTCGCCCATGATGTGTTGGAATAACTGAAAACATTACAGTTATTAATTAGCCGGCAGGATATTTCCTCTACGTGGGAAAAAAGCTCCTGGATTTATTTCTAACGCGCTTCTAAATTCAACAGTGGGTCAAGGGACAGTGTGTGATCGTCTTATGCTTTTACTTCTTTTCCGGCGATGCTTAAGTGTTTTACCTCGCCTCCAAAGTTATACGTTTTATCAAGTGCTTCTAGATTGATTTTAGTGTTCAAATTGATGTGTATGCGAACTCTTAAATTCAAGATTTTGTGATTGGAATGCTAATTCGCTCAAAAATGGCAAAAATGTCAACTGATAAGCAAGAATCCGTAGCTATTGTGGATACAGTGAAATTTCAATTCCCTATTTTTGACGGCACAAGTACAAATTTTCCAGTAGACAAATATCTTCTATTGTTTGAAGAGAAATGTGCCGCAAAGGACATTTCAGAAGAGGAAAAGAAATTTGTTTTCTCAGAGTGTATTAGAGGAGAGGCTTTAGCCCTCTATTTACGTGATTGTTTAGATAAAGACTGGGACAACATAAAGGATATTTTCGAGACATACTTCACAACATCGGAATCTGTTACTTTTAGTGATTTTGTGTCTTTAAAATACGAGAAATTTAATAATATTGATGTTTATTTTCGTAATAAGTTGAAATTAGGAGCCAGCTTGAAACTAACAGATTCCACAATGGTGGAAGCACTTACGGAAGGACTTCCTGAGTCTCAAAGAATGCTGTTAACAGTGCAAAACATAGACACACCGAAAGACTGGATTACTCTTGCTAGGAAACTGTTTCCAGTTCAGATGCCGTTGGATGGTCTAGGAAATAATAATTATCAATTTGTTTCTCCAAGGCAAACTGTTCCGAGGTGCTATTATCCCAGACCAGTGCAAGCCACTCCTTATCAAAGTTTTCGTAGTGTGAGACCTTTTAATTATCAACAAGTGCAATACCGACCTCTACAGTATGCGTATCGGCCAATTCTATATCCACAATTATCTGCTATTAATTATAACACGGTTCCTAAAAGAGAAGTTAAAACATGATATTACTTTAAAGTGAATGTCCAAATTGGACAGGAAAAAATTCCCAGTATTATTGATACGGGATCGCAAATTAACGTTTTACCGTTAAAAATTTTTAACAAAATTGGTGATAAATTTAGAGAAATTTCAGTGATAAAATATTTTCAATATCTAGTGAAGTTCATATAGAGAAAATAATCAAAGTAAAGTGTAAAGTAGGTAAAATAGAAAATAATGTGATATTTTATGTAGTAGATTCAAATTTGAATTATTTATTGCTTTCATCACCATGTGTTTCATTATTTAAATTACAATTGAATTTTTATAATTATGAAGTGTATCAGCTTGGAAAACAGGTAAGTAAAAATGTTAAAGTAGACAAGTTTTTCCAAAATAATAATGTATGTAAAAATGATATCAGTGCTGAAACAATCTAGTAAATATTTTGATAATAGCGAAAATTTTGTATGTAAAAATGATCTTAGTACTAAAAATTGTGGTAATTATTTTGAAAATAGTAAAAATTCTGATAGTAAATTACAGAAATTGTTGAATGATTATAATCATATATTTGCAAAAAGTAAATATGATGTTGGTTGTATAAGGGTTGAACCTCCCAGAGT